AAAATACTTGAAAATAACGGAATAGCCCCGCTCTATTCTATATTAAGTAATTTTATTAGTTTATGAGGTCAAATTTAAATGAAATTAACCAAGAAATGCTTAATTAGCAAACAATCTTAAGTTTGAATTGCAAATTGTAACATTCACACTAAAATATTATTTAATAACGCCAAAACCTGTTTTGATCGAATATAACCTCCTTCACTTATTTGTATTAAAATTAAGTTTTTATTCTTAGATTTAATTCATACATAAATCAATCAAAAAGAAATAGCCTAATATAAAAATTTATTTATCTAATAATCTGGCTTCTATCTTCTTCAAAGTAATTCCTCTTTAAATTTTTAGAGCGATTCCATCGCTTCTGCTATGCGGCATGTTTTGTTTACCAAAATAAAATTGAAACTCAAGAGACGGCGTTTCAATACAATCAAGGACATTTAATATGATTTGAGACGACTAGAAAAATCTACAAATATATATCATCTAAAAAGTATCCGCGGTTTTTTGTCACTAGATGTGTTGACCATCAACACCATCTAGTGACAAAAAACCGCGGATACTTTTTAGATGACCCAATATATATCGATATATCTGAATATCGAATCGAGACTGCAGTGTACTACATATTGTCAGATTAGTGTTTGGCTGCAACACGAGCTATCCGTAGATGCAATGCTTACATTGCTGCAAGAGGCCAACATTTTGAACAATATCTACATTAAGCAAATAAATAAATACAACGTAAATAAGTAATAAAAAAGTACAAAAATGAAAACTATGTTTTATCTTTTTTGCAATTTCTTTCAAAATGAAATAAAAACGAACATATCTCTACAGGACTTTTTTTCTTATAGTTTATCGATCCTCTACATCAGTGCTCACAAAGATTAGCACATTTCGGGCTGATTCCGACGAATGACCTCCACCACCGCTCGAGGCTCGGCCGCAGTACTGTGGCTCGGCAGTCGAGCTGCCGAGCGCTCATGTGATGTTCGCACTCTGACGCGCGCGCGCGCACGCAGTGTGTCCGGAATTTTATATTAGGTGTTGGAATTAATTCGTAGCATTTTTTAATGGATGGGAAGTACTTTCATTAATGTATTTTTTAATGCTCATGTGAAATAAATAACATTCTTTCATTAAAAAATGCTACGAATT